TTCTGCACATCCACTCGTTGCTTCTCCCACCTTTTCTATTTCATGCTCTCCCTCTTGAGAGGACTTCCCTTTTCATCCAGTTGAAAAGCTCCTGGCTAGGAGGAGCCTCACATCCAGAAAAACACCTTGAGCACACACTGTTGTCCTTTCCACAAACTCTTTCTCTCCCAATTCACAGTTTGTACACTCCTAACACGGTAAAATTAAAACCGAACTCTTCTTTCTCACAGCTACTCTATAAAGTAAATAGGCAAAACCCTCCACTGCACACTTTTTTCCCTAAGTAAATCTTAAGACTCTAATTTCTTTTTACCCGCAATAACAAGGTCATTTCTTTTGGTAGGCTGGGCTGCATCTCCCTGACCAGGAATATGCACCCTAGGAAATAGGTGAGTGGCCACCTCCAGTGTTGCACAATACCTCTCCCATCACAGCTGGTTCCATGGAGCATTTCTAGCTCCCTGCTGCGGACAAAATACCCACCTCTTGGTCCATAACCTGTGGCAAACGTTGAGTGACATGGACCTGTTGACACCACAGGGAAAGCCAAAAATTGAAAACCAGAATCTCCAGTGAAAATAGGCTGATCCCTGGGACAATTTCATCACACATTTATATACAGAGCTAAGTGAGAAGAATGTTTGGAAACAATGGCTAAGGGGAAGCGGTTCAGAAAGCTCAAGGGGGAAAGTTGCACATCATTGCATTGTTGGCTAATTCTCTACTCTAGGATTTGATTCAGCCACAAGCATCACAAGTCACTGAGTTTCCCACAAAAACTAGATCTGGATATAGACCTAAGGGAAACCCTGAGTCTCTGCTTTACTGTAAATTTGGTTACTTTGACATCTTTGTGTTTTAATTCAGGATGAAAGTCTATTTATAAGATTTACAGGTTTTATCTTATTTAATGATCGGTTTGGACATTAGTGATAGTGCATAAACTGCTAGTTATATGGCATAATACTTAAATGAAACATATTCAGAAAGAATATCTTCTGTGTAATGTTGGTTGAACTACCTATTATTGCGTATTCAAAGTATTTACAGTGTCATAGCAGACCTAGAAGAAGAAAGCAATTGCAATGCAAATTTTCAGTATGGCAAATAGAACACCCAAAAAGATAACTTGTTCCCATTGGATATCAAGACATAAAGAATACAGTAAAAAAAATAAAGCATTACACTGAACACTATTACTTACATGATGTAAAACATATTAACAATAACAAAAATCTAATCCCCTTATGGATCAAAATAAAGTTTTAGAACTCAGAAATTAAATTCTGAAAAATTCCAAAAGTAAACATTTTAAAAAATATCTCCTTTGACACTCTGTCCATTGTGAACCTTAATAGTATTTTACAATTAAAATTATTTTAATTACATCTTATTTCACTTTTCATCAAAATCTGTAACAAAAAAAGTCCAACCAGCTGCTATTTTGTAATGCATATGAAAACCGGCATTTCCTGAGCTTATGAAAAAGGAAGCACTCCATTTTACTTACATGAATAAGAATGCTCTATATCTCATGTATGAATATTAATTTTTTTACAGTTCTTCTCTGTGATATAAGACTGTAAAAATCACAGTGAGGGAGAAGTTCTGCTGCTAACAAACCTGTAACAAACCCATATCTCCAGGGATAATCATTTCAGCTGTCAGAGCACAGTGAGGAGCAGCTGGTTCTCATGGGATGGCAAGCCAGGAGCTACGCAGGATAACAAGGCAACTGGGAGCAGCACCTTCCACCGAGGAGTCAGGATGTGGAGTGGCAAACCTGAATGGTGATCAGGATCAGACATGATCCAGTGCTCTCCTGAGATGTCCACAGGAAGGCAGAGCTCTCACTGACAATGGAACTCCCCTTGGACTCAGACAGTTCAATGCTTCACCTTTACCAAGCCATCTCCTAGAGGGGGATTGCACATTTGGCTGGTCCTGGCATCACTAATACAACAACACAGTCTTAGCAGCTAAAGGTGCGGTGTACAGTTGAATGAAATACCCATTTTATGTGAAGCAATTCAAGAACATGAGCGGGTTATTATTATGTTATATCATATTATATTTATTATATTTATAATATTATATTATAAAAATCAACTGCTATTGTTGCCTTCTTCATATGCCCCAGAATGCCCTTTATTTAAGAATAAAATAAATAAGGGCTATGGGAAGCATTTATGATGAAATGTCATCCAATCAAAAATAGAGCATATAAGAACAGTCTGAGAAATACCTGTGCCTTCTTCCCAGACAGACATGTTCCAAAGGCTTCCACAGAGCCACACAAAATGAGTAATGCTATTAAAATACAGTTTTTAATGCACATGGGAAATACCCTAAATAGAACTAACTTGTCAGCCTCCAACTGGAGGCAGAAATCAATGTTGCATGCAATGCCCAGCCTGCATGAAGCCTGCCGACATGCTTGGTAAGGTTTCCATTAGTGGAATTTGGAACGATTGTTTAAAAAAAAATGAAATTAATTATAAGGTGCTTTTATTTGGGGTACTTTCCATGTGCATTAAAACCTGCATTGTAATACCCACCTACAGGGGTCAGCAAATAGACAGTGAAAGAAATGAAGGGCTCATTTGTTTCCAATCCCTCCATCACTTCTTGCCCAGATCCTCAAAGGGGTAAATATCAGATGTGCAATCGTTGCTCCTTGTAGGACAGCCAGAGACCTTACTCAGTAGCCTTGTTCCTCTTGCCCAAGTGATGAAATAAGGGCTGTTGTAGCCAGCGTACAGGGATCTGACAGTGAAACCAAATTAGTTTCTATCCAATACATTAAGCACTGCAAAAATATATTCTGAAGAACATGAAAACTAGTTTCCATTGCCTTTATTTTTCATTCTAAATTTTAATAGAAATTGATACTGTTTAATACTCTACACAACAAGGCAGTCTTTAAAACGTTGTGTGACTTCCAGCTAAAACAGGAGCATTTGGCATCTCAGAAACCTTCTCACCTCTCTAAAAGACCTCTTTTTATCTTTCTCAGGAAACTGAACAATAGAACAGAGACTTTCAGAACCTAGGTGAAAATAAACAGCAACTTCAGCACACATAACGAGGCAGTTCCAGATATCTGTATCTCAGGTTTGGGCTGTCTGAATAGAGCTACAATGATTTGAAAAAAGTATATTGGAGATTTAAATGGTTTGTGAGGATTTCTACAGCACACAGGAAACAATCATGATATTCAAAAGGCATGAGTCTAACCAAATTGCTCTGCTGGAATTGTTAACTACCTGAAAATTCTGTAAAAAGTCTTTGAATATTAGTGTAGAAATAGATTCACGTTATTAATCATATTTCAATATGCAGTTGGAAGAATGATTAACATATAGGTATCATACCTATCTTTATTAAAAGAAAGTAAATCAATCACAGGACCATTCATTTTGAGTGATTGCTCTGGAGCTGGGCTGATATTCAAATAATATAGGCTATGCCATAGTATGGCTAGTGATCTTCAAAATTAATAGCAAACATATACACATAACAGATTCAAATTCACACAGTAAATATAGCAAGAAAATGGTTTGTTCTCATAGGTAGATAAATCAAATGCCAGACTCTCTGGATATGAACAGAATTGTATGGCCATTGATTGTTTATATTCCACAGCACTGCAGAGTTGATATGAGTTGGTTTTGCCTTGTAGGGAAATCTCTGAAACCACATGCCATATCTACTGTGGATATCTTGCATACCAATCTCCCATAATGATCAGATCCATATTTTGATTAGTAGGTTATGCAAAGGCTCATTTACCTTAAAAATAATCTTAAAACACTGTGCAAGGTATTCCTGAAGAAATGCAGTCAAAGATTTTGCAGATTTTCCTATGCCTAACAGTGAGATAAGATGGCTTGCAACTGGCTCCTAGAAAGATCCAAAGTAATTCATCATTTCCTTTGTGAAATGATGTTGTTGGTTTTTTTTTAAAATATACATCACATTTTCCATCACACGCAATTGTAAATTTGGTACATAAATTATTTGCATAAAGTCACTTATTACTGCTATATACATAATCAGGAAAATTTTGGAAACTTTTCTTCTTTTCAGAGGATCACCCTTACAATCTCTGTAAACATGCAAGCTGTTTTCCAACCAAAAGGAGCTGCTATCTAAAGCGTTTTTATGAGCTTTGTTGTCTATTTATGAAGTGTGCCTAAATTGTGGTGGGCAAGCATTTTGCTTGTGTTGTAACAAGATGCACCAAGATCATCTTAATGTGAAACGTTTACTTTAAAAAATTATTTGGGGTTTGAAACACTTCATGCACTGAGTCATTCTCAACTAAGGAATGCAGAAAATCAAAATCTTACTTTTCCCCAAAACCAACCCCAAAACACCATCTCGATGGGAACCTTCTTAAAGTGCTAAATTATAAGAACTTTCATATCAGAATCATGGAATTATACAATGGTTTGTGTTGGAAGGGACCCTAGAGTTTATCTAGTTCTAAAACTCTGATGTGGGTAGGGACACCTTTCTCTAGACTTTTTCCTCCCTCAGCACTAAAATCCAGTTTACTTAAATGCTTTCTTATCATGCATCTGTGAACAGTTTAATAAAGAAACATTACAAAATTGGTAGGACTCCCTATTTCTTGGTTGCTTTGGCTGTTTTTTATTTAAAAAAAAGTTTTAACAACCAATAAACCTACAGTAATATTTGTATTAATTAACTGGAGTATACAAAATATTTGTCTTGTTTCTGAAATATTCCTGTAGCACTACAAGCAATTAACATTTATAACTACAAATTTTGCTAAGATAAAAGAATATCAGGAATCTAACTCTAATCATTCTAACAACTAGAGGTCAAATTCTGCCTTTCCTTACAGTCATGTAATTACATTTGTTAACTGTTGTAAGGGAAAAATTTAGCCCCAAACCACATTTTTATCTAAATATATATGTTCCTACAGAAAAAAAAACAACAAAACAAAACAAAAAAAAACAACGAAAAAAACCCCAAGCTATGTCTTATTATTGCTCTTCCCTTCTGAAGGGTAAATACTGATATTTGAAATACCTAAATTGTATTTACAGCTGTACAACATTGGTGCCACATACTTGCAAAATGCCACTTGAACTCATAAACATGGAGTAACTTGTAAAATCAGCTTAAAAACTTTTCTTAAAATAAAGAAAGAGAAGAGAAGCTTAGACATTTTCTTTGTCAAATTCACACACAAAATACATGGTAATGTGACATGCAACATCGTTCCACCCTCCAGAGGCCACCATCTCCACACAGTCCTCCTCATCGTAAGCATTGTTGGGCTCCCCGCTGCGCCATTTGTTGAAGGTCTGCATGGGCGACCGGTCGGAATAGACAAAATTTCCCTCTTTCTCGAGGTCGTTAATCCCAATGAAAACTCTGGTGAGCCCAGCTTGGTTGATGTACGAGGCAATCAGACTGTTGGCAGTCTCATCCTTGGGCATGCTCAGCGTCCCTCCTCTTCCATGGCAGTAGAGTTGGGCTTCCTTGTATCTCTTCTCCTCCTTCACCAGCAGATATATCTTATTATCTGTCTCACGCACACCAGCAACAGCTGCGGGGGAGGGCAGTGCTGAAAAGTGAGCACTCGCATTTCTATAAACCAAGTCACTGTACACCCCAAAATAGCTTCACAAATCAGATGTGGAACGGTGACACTCTCTACGAGCAATTACACCGGTAAAATGAGGCAACAAGAAAGGAAAATAGTTATATAAAATTAACCTACCATTTTTTATGAATTTTAGTTCCGTTGTCAGCTGGGCTACTTGGATATCCATTTCACCAATAGCCTTCCTTAGCTGGCTGCACTCACAGGGGATGCCTGTGAAATGATACAGAGACGCCCAAATCAAAAAGCTACCCAATTTCAACAGTTATCTCAACAAGTCTATGAAAAGGCCAGCCTGGCAGCCCTGGAGAGGGCTGTCTTGCAAATAACAGACAGAAAATTAGAACCTTCACTACCCTGCACCATTATGTGGTTCTCAGGAG